GGGCTACAAAACTATCAGCTTAATCATAATAAATAGCCGATTTAATTTTTGCTTTTTCGATATTTGTGTGTCTTTTGCGATATAACATCACAGGGGACTGTTCCCAGAGTACTGTTTTTTTTTTTATACAAATTGAAGAAAAATCAAGCAAACTATTTCAATGCATTCAACTTTTCAAGTTCTCAATCAATATTTACATTAATTAGAATAATATTAAGACTTATGGACGGAATTTTATAAATAAATTATAAATAAAAATAGTTGCCAGGGGACTGACATTTTGAAGTGGCCCAGACACATATTTCCAGCACAAACGGTGCTTTTACACTAAATAAAATCCCGATAAAGCGCTAACAGCCCTATGGTTATTAACTCAAGGCTAATTAGGTCCTTATAAACCTTACAAAAGGTAAAATAACACGCTGGATTTTTTTTTTGGCTTTGAACTTCTGGCAGGGGACTGTTCTTAAAATGCCTGGGACAAACTTTGGTTTAATGAATTTAATTAAACAAATTAATTTTCGGTACTTTTTATTGAAGAAGATTGTTAGTTAACTAATTAAGTTTATGAACATTATGGACGAAATTATATATTATGGACGAATAACTTAAAATTTAATCTTAAAGTTTTAATTTTGGGAATGGGACAGCCCAGGGGACTGTTATTTCGGTGGTTTACCAATTTATATCAAAAAAACCAAAATTTATTTCATTTTAGTTTTCAATGCTCCAAATAAAAATGTTTTTTTACTTTCGTAATAAATTTTTTTTAGTAACAAAATAACAATTATTGATAAAATCACTTTTTATATATTTGTATTAAAAATAAAATGTATGAATATTAAAAAAACGGTTGACCCTAAAGGCCATCCCTGAAACTTCTCGCTAATTTCATACTTAAGCGCTCAAAATTGCACTTACTTCGTTTATGAGCTCTTCGAGCTATAGAATATAATTTTTGTGTCATTTTGAGCTCTTCGAGCTCAAAAATCTGGTAGAAGTTTAATAAAACACTATTTCTTAAATTTTCAATGGTGGACTAAGATATCGAATTTTTTGTAATGATATACTAATAAAAAAATTTTTTATTAATGTTTTTTTTCTAATTTGCGGTTTTTCCGCGGATTGATATTTTTAAATAAATGTAGACGTGTGAAAACTTATTTTAAAAGGAATTTTATGATCTATATGGTACTACAATTTATTATCATTATTATTATTAATTTAAAAAAAAATGTAAGTGGTTAAATTAAACTTTAATCGAGACAATTAAGCGGTTTATCAAATTTACGTGTATGACCCTGAAATTTAATTGATCAATGATTGAGTTTCTTTTAACACAACACGGCTAAATAGCCTTCTGGGCGCAAAAACGTGCGCCATAAAAATTTATTCACACTTACAGATTTATCGAATAAATGTTCGAATGTGTTGTCCAAATATGGCGAGCGCACCTTGGATCGTCGATGAGGCGAATATCTCGCTCTCCGTGCTATAAACCCCAGATTTTAAGGTGATTCAACACCATTTACGGCTCATCACCATCCGAATCAGTACATCCACCAAGAATGCTTGCAAAAACCACCAGACCAATAATTGCAAATTTTATTCACATAATTTACATTTTTTTTTAATTTCCTTTACTTTACTTATTTAAAAAAAAATAAAAAAAAGCCAAGTAACAAATTTTATTTATTTGTATTAATTATTAAATATATTTAAAAAATAAACTTTTATTAAAAACAAATAATTTTTTCTTTGACTCAAAATTTTTTTCTAAAAATTTAAAATTCTAGATCTGATAAAAAATCCATCTTGCTTAAGCCCACCTCGAACATGGTATTAAGTAGATGGTTAGTTTAAGATTAGCGAGGAGGTGCTGTGAGGACAGGTGTGTGAATTAAGAACGAGTACAAATTGGTTGAATGAGCACAAGTATAAGTATTGAGTCTCATCAATGAGCCGGCTTATGAATGAGCGGCCCGAAAACAGCCAATTACAATAGCGTTGAGTGAAGGTAATCTGGCGTCAGCTTCAAGGGTTGTTAAATATTTCATCAAGTCCGTCTGGCTATTGTCCAAAGTGTCAATTGAGATTTGTGCCATTGATCCTGACTAGGAAGTAAAAAGTAGAAGGTGTAAATTTAAGAGGAACATTGTAGATAGACGCAGCCGGATGAATGCTTTTGAGCACAATGGAGAGTTTAAAAATATCTAAAGCTAGAAAGGTAGTCGTCCGTCTTAACCAGACAGGATTTTCCGGAAGCACTTCAGAGTAGTCTTTGCTACGATCTCGTTTCTTGGCGTCTCGTAAAAAAGAGTGCAGTAGAATGGTGCTCCAAATGAAAAAGATACCCAGGTGCTCTTAAAAGGTTACTCAAATGACCGCTTGCAAAAAGCTAGACGACCCGAAATTGCTTCTATGAATATTCTCCGGTTAATTCGATGGTCGCTAGAGGTGTCGATCCGGAAAATACAGCTTATAAATTAATAAGCTTCATTTTAAAGGGTAAGCGCTTGGAATCTAGCAATGGATATTTTTCTGCAGGTGGTCTTGGGGAAGATTGCTTTCAGCTTGATGGCTTTTCTCGGTAGCCCATGCTATTGAGAATTTAGTGTAAAAGAGGCAGGTATTTGCCGCTCTGTAATCACTCAGGTGGACCCAGTAACACTTTTGGGTTTTTACTACGCGAATTTGGGTCTGTAAATGATCATAAGAATCAGATATTGATGAAAAAGTGGCGAATATGATAATAATTAAAGAAGTATTCTGGTCTAACCATATTTGGGTGACGTGGAATACACTTTTGTCCCTCAGTCTGCTCCTATTTAAATTCGAAGCAATGTTTGGGGCACTGGGAGGCGTCTTTTGCCTCCAATAATATGTCCTGAAAATTTGGAAAGGTTTTATCAATTAGGAAAAAAGTTTTCTTTGTTACGAAATTCAAGGTCATCGATTTTCACGCGAAAATCCGCTTTTTGAGGCTTGGAAATGAATGATACCAATTTTTTTTTGCATAGATGTCATTGGTTATCGGTAAAAGTACATAATTTGTTTGGTAAATCCTTAAAAAAATTTTCTAATATCGCCTGATTTGGTCAAAAATAATTTACATTTCTGTTTCAAGCCTAACTAGGAAATTTTTCTAATTAGTAGTAAATATTAGTGTAGTAAAATAAAATTAGTAATAAATATTAGTGTAGTAAATATATTTTAATAACTAAATTTTGGCTGATTTTCATATATTTAAAATATATCTTAAAATACATAAAAAATAAATAGATAAAAAAAAAAATATTTTGAATATATCTAAAATATATGTGAAAATCGGTCAAAAGTTAGTTATTAAAAATATATTTTATATATATTTAATATATTTAAATTAGATTTTTAATGTATTTCTACATATATTCGACATAAATTTTAGAATTGAAAGTGCATTATTTGAAATAATCACTAATTTTTATGGTTTAATTTAATTTTTATAAACTTAATAATGAAAAAAAGTATTACAGATTATTATTATTATTTTTTTTTTTCAATACATCGGAGACTGTTTTCATTCAAACTAACTTTTAACTTAAAATTACTAAAAAATCATCAGTAAATTTCCAAATTTTTGATGAAAAAATATACAATTCAACATTAATTTAAATAATCTAATTTTAAAATGAGTTTAAAAGTTGTAAATAAAAATAATATGACACTTTTAAGTCATTAAATGCTCAAGGGCGTAACTACGTTTATATCCGACAGACAAACTTATCCCAGCCCGGCCCGGATAGCTCAGCCGGTAGAGCATCAGACTTTTAATCTGAGGGTCCAGGGTTCAAGTCCCTGTTCGGGCGATATTTTTTTTTTTTTTTTTTTAATTAAATTATTTTTACCCTTATTATTTATTTATTAATTTAAAATGACTCAGAAATTATTTGGAGAAAGCCTTCGACTCTGTATGGCTTAATGGCCTGATATATAGATTAATAAAGCTTGGATTTCCTGAATGGATGACTCTATTAATATTCGATATGATACACGACAAAACGTTTATTATTTGGGACGGAACCAACTCCACAAACACAACCTTTAAAATACTTCAGGGACTTCAACAGGGAACTGTCAACTCTCCCACCCTCTTTTCAATTTATTTTAGCACCCTACTCAGTTCGTTCGATTTAAATAAAGGTGATGAGAATAAAGAAATTGAAAAGATCTTGGAAACACCTGACCAACAGATCTACATCACGAACCACAACTCAGTTTGCCTACCACCCCAAGCTACTTATTTTATCTACTTTGACAAAAAAGGCATCATACAAGACAGCAACAACGTACCAACAATATATCATTGGGGCAGAAATGTAGCAAACAAAAGAATTAATTTGACATCTGATATGATTGCCAACAATAAATATCATCCAGTTTATTCAATGGCCTTACCAGAACGAGATAAAATGGACTTCTACAGTCTTGATGAAAGATACTGGTGGCTAGAGGACTCCTGCCATCGTATAAAATTAAAATTAAGAAAGCTCAACGGCTGGTCAGCGACGTGGTGAAGTGTTAATATGTATATTTGTATATATGTATAGATTTAAGCTATAATCTTTTTTCTTTAATATTTTTATTTTCTTTTTTCACTATTAATTTTTTTTTAATAAGCTAAGCGAGGGTTTTTGCAATTTTCCCACCGCTCCTCAACTAACAAGAATATATATCCTAATTGGATACCTCAAAATACATACTTAATTAATAAAATACTTAGGTTCTGATAATTCAGATCCACATATACGATTGATATGAGTAGCTTCACACGCGGAGACTAATATCTTATTAATAAACATAACATAATGGCTAGTTTTTAAGTTTATTTGCAGCCGAATATTTATTGTAAAACTTATGTAATTTAAATAAAGCAAATAAACTTCTTTTCAAAAAAAAAAAAAAAAGTAGAGCATCAGACTTTTAATCTGAGGGTCCAGGGTTCAAGTCCCTGTTCGGGCGATATTTTTTTTTTTTTAATTAAATTATTTTTACCCTTATTATTTATTTATTAATTTAAAATGACTCAGAAATTTTTTTCCAAAAAAAAAAATTTTAAAAATAAATCACAATTTAAAACGAGATCAGTAAAATAATTTAAAAGTATTCCCGAGGTTCTAATTAAATTAACACCAGAGTTTATTTAACTCGGAATATATTTACCATCCTGATTATTATAATTATCATCTAGAATATCCCGTGTAAGACCTGTAAAATAATGCTAAATAAATTAGAGCGAGTAGAATGGAGAGCTGGTGATTGAGTCAATAGTAAATTTATTTTTTATATTTTTATTCCCCCGGTAGAACCGCAAACGTGTTAATTAAAACGAAAGTCCCAAGTTCGAACGAGTAGTAAGTAAAAAAGAAACTGGATGAGATTCAGATCCAATTAATCCAATCAAGTTAACTTGTGTTTGTGTGATTAACAAACGTCGAACAAAAAACACAAAGCTTTGTTGAAAAAAAAAAAAAAAAAAAAAAAAAAAAAAAAAAAAGCATGAATATACAAATGCGGATTTGTGACGGACTTTAATCCAAGAGTGGAATGACAAATGCGCTACTGGCTGTTCTGCTTGACAACAAGTACTCCGGCTTTAAGCGAAAGCTCATGTTGAAATAACGTTTCGCTGATTCTCTCTCCAGTCTTTTAAATTTTTATAAATAAAGCGGGGTAAAATGTGTGACAGTTCCCGAGTGATGCTTCAACAAGGATGAAATCTCATTTACATGCATCGTCTGCTATTTATTTTACGCATTACAAACACACACATATGGGTGGATGTTTGTACCTTGCAAGTTATACTTACACTTGATATTTCCTTACCTTATCCGTGTGTCGACGTGTAACAGGCTTTCGTCATTTTCTGCTCAGAAGCTTTAGGAATTATTGCGCCGAGTAATTAATGATACAGTTGATACTCTCGACAGCCGGTAGACAGCATTTCAACTTTCGGAATTACGCTGATTAACATTTTAGCTGTCTACTTTTGAATTTTTTACTCACGACAGCTTAAGAATTTTTTTTTTCAGTCAATAATTATACCAGTGCTAAGCAACACTCTGTTTATCGGGTTTAAGTTACCAAGGGTGCATATTTTTATGATTACAAGTTTATGTTGACGCTCTGCAGATAATTAAAGGACTATTTTTTAAGGGAAAAATATTGTGCTGTAAAATAAATTATTTTTAGCTTTAAAAGTTGATATTTTCTTTAAAATAGACGAAAATTTTATTAAAAAAATTTGCTCATAAGGATGTTAAGGAAACTATTTGAAAATTTGGAAAATATTAAATTTTCTTAGAAATTAAATTTTTAACGCCTAGGGCCAAAAAAAAAAAAAAAAATTTTTATTTCTATATATATACTATTCGGTTGATAATAATAATTAATTACATTTTTTTTTTTTCATAAATTTTTAACCATACCAAGAAAAAAATGCAAAATTTCATCAAAAAATTTTTAATATGCTCAATAGCAAAAAAAACCGAATTTTTATGTAAATTTCAAATTTTTTGACTTACCTCAAACATCAATAAGAAATTTTTAAGCTCAAAAAATTTTTTATATCATTAAAAAAAAGTAAAAAATCGTATTTTAAAAATATTAGAGTTTAAAAAGGCTTTTTTCATTATAAAATGAATTTTTTTAAAGAAATCTCTAATTTTTCACCCGAAAAATCATCTAAAAATTCAAATTTCAAGTGTTAGCTGCAGAATTAATATTATTAATAAAATAAAAAAAAGTCGAAAATCGTGTTTAAAAAATATTAGAGTTCAAAAAAGGCTTTTTTGAAACAAATCTCAAATTTTTCATCTTAAAAATCATCCAAAAGTTCAAATTTCGAGTGTTGCCTGCAGGATCACTACTAAAAAAAAATTTCCGTCAAAAATAAAAACCCATTATATGAAAAAAGATTTATATTTTATTGAAAAAAGCTTGAAAGATTACACATTAGACATGAATGAGTATGTAAAAGAATGAAGGGATGAAAGAGGGTCAATGACAATCAACTATATTATATATATTTAATTTCATATATAATATGTAAATAGTAATACGTGTACAGTCTAAAACTTATGACTTGGTCATAATAATAATTATAAACAATCAATAATCTCGAAATAACCAATCTTAAAACGAACCAACCAATAAATAATTTCATAAATATCACACAATAAAATTTCTATCACTTACTCAAACTAAGATTGCCCTTACGACGTCTCGTAGCGACAGATAACTTCCCTTCATCATTTCCAACAGATCTCCTAACATTCGCACGATACTCGTCCTCGTAGGCGTTCAAGTACAAGTTTTTAAGAATAATTTGATTATCTAGTTCAGCATTAGGCAGGAATCTTTTAGAGCGGCTCTGCTGCTGCGCATCCAACCCGTTCAAAGTGAATAATTTCCTACCATCGTCATCAATCTTCCTTCGGCCGTTTGAATTCACCGAAAGGAGCTTACGGCTCTGCCTAGAATCCTCTTTGACGTCAGTAGCGTTTCTAATTCGCTTGCTGCGATGTTTTCCAATTTCGGTGGAATTTTCCCTCAAAGGAATATCATTAATGGCTTCTATTTTGATTGAACTGGTTGTAGGATCAGTAGCTTTCAAAGTCGTTTCTGTAGAAACCAAGCTTGTTCCGTTTGTTTGCAACCCATTATTTTCTGTTCTATTTAGATTTTTGCTTTCATTCCTCAAAACTTCATTCTTTTCCGCTTTATCATCCAATTTTTTTTCAATGATATGTTTGAAAAATGCATAAATTTCCCCAACTGTAAAGGTGCTGCCCTTCAGATCCAATTTATCCAGATCAATATTCGAAAGCAGATCACCTGACATATTATTTTTTCCCGATTCAATAATCGACAATTTTTCATTAACATACCCATTAATGAATTCATAGAACCCACGATAGTAGTTTTTAGATTTATTTCTTTTTTTGCCGTTAGATTCACTGTCACCATCACCGGAATCATCACTATCATTCCTATCACCACCACCACCACCCTTATGCTTCTTACCATGCTTTTCACTCCATCGCAACGACTTGTTATAAAACCGCATAATCTTCTCAAACTCGCGCTTCAATTTGGTAAACTCTCGCTGATTGTGAACCTGAAGATTGTCATGATGCGTCGAATTGCGATGAGTCTCCGCAAGATCAACATGGAAGAAATTTTTGCTCATAAGATTCAGGATATCATGCATAGTCATATTGTGACTCGTCGAATTGTTCCTGCGCTTAGAATCAATCCGCTTCAATTTCCGGTAAGTGCTCCTTAAGAATTCAATCATCTTCTCGTCCTTATTCCTAGACTTTTTGTGAAAGTGCTTTTTTCTGATCACAAGATTGTCAACAGTGCGATTAGAGTTTTCCCGCCTTTTGAAACCACGATCATCACTGGCGTTCAAATTGATGATTTTGACCACATCTACATCAGGAAGGTCCCTTAATTGGGATTTCTCGAGTTCTAGGTGCAGGAGTTTCTTCCCGACGCGTCTGAAGTAGTCGATGAACTTCTTGAAGTTGGACGTCGGATTCGCCGTCAAATTAGCACCAGTATCATTACTAATCGAACCATTAAAGCGATCAAGGGACCTTCTTCTTCTGCTCCAACGAATCCGCGGATGCTGCCCAGGAACACACACAGGAAGCTCCTTGGGGCTCCAATTCCCGCCAACACAAGTCGCTCCAGTTGGTCCTTCATTCAAAACATATCCTTTATCACAGTCGTACATGATTTGCTTGTTATTGGGGACTTTCTTGACGTACGGACGATAATCATAAACACCCATATTGCCAACCAGGAGGACTTTCCCATTAGGAACGTAGCCAGGAAAAGCGCAGTAGACTTCAATGCAATGAGGGATATCTCCAATCCAGGTCCCGTAATGGCACTCCACGTGAAAAGATGAATTGTAGGGTCCGCCGCCAATCTGGGTGAACCCGTCCTTGCACTTGAAGATCGCTTTCATGCCATGGTTCATTTTGGGAGCGATTACCATTCCGTTTTTCGGAGACTTGGGCATCTGCTTACATCGCGCTGGAGTGCAAGAAGGAATTATGGTCCAGGTGCCATTATTACAGGTGACTGGGGTGTTATTGGCTGCGAATTCGTAGTTCTCGATGCAGTGGACGTAGATGCGCTCGCCGTGCTCGACGACAGTCACGTTGTTGATGTGGTCGTTGTCGTGGGAAGCCACGGATATGTGGCCCTTTTCTATCCGGGGTATTATACAAGGCGCCAAGCAGCTGGGTAGAGGGTAACGCCATTTGCCGTCACTTTCGCAGACTGAGGAGGTGTTTCCTTCCAGCTTCATGTGACCCTTGCAACGGAAAATGATACTGGCACCCAATCCAGTTCCTGGAGACAGAAAGAAGATTTTTTATTGATGATGAGGGAGCTTTAGGGAAGATTAAAGTGTCAAAATAAACGGTGATTAATATTGGCTGATTCTGAAGATGCTTTTAGGAAGCTCAGTGACGCGTGAGGAGCTTCTAGGGACAGCGGTATTGACAAAGTAAGTGACGGAGGTGGAACAAAGAAAAGGTCTCGATCAATTAAAATGTCAAGTTTACTCAGTGTCTCGGGGTATTTTTAGCTAACAACCCTGTTATTTCAGCTCACCGTGCTCGATGTTCTCTATCCAACCATTGTAGAGGATTCCTGGTGAGCCGCAATTTATTTCCTCGCAGACTGGAGCTTGGTCTGACCATTTTCTATCAGCTTGGCATTTACGGGTTGTCATTCCCACCAATACGTATCCGTGATTGCACTCGTAAGACACTATTGCATTGTACGAGTGGGAGGTTGAGATAGCTTTTCCGTACCTTGGATTCTCGGGAATTGGACACTGGGCTGGACCACCCTGGAAATAGAAAAGACCTATTAAAAAAATCCATATAGGAAACCAGCCTCTTTTCCTATATAGGATTCCACATTGTGGAGCATTCCATAGTGACTGGTGGGACATTAGACTCTGAAATTCCATCAATTATATATAATTATGTGAATGAAACTAATACAGTAAAATATAGACTTTTAATAATAAATTTGGACTAAATTAGAATGAATTAATCTCTGCTATTAATTAATTTTGTAATTTCTATCTAATGAAAAAACTACTCCCGTCTGACGAACTCGAACCCGGTACCTTATGGTCAACAATTTTCTACCCTACTCACCAGCCTAATTCACCTCTTACAAGGTCTGTTTTTATTCCATTTATATAAATTCACTATAGAAACTCATATTTTCTATATAGAGTCCCATATAAACTCATATAAATTTTTTTTTTTTTTTTTTTTTTTTTATAGGAACCTTCAATTGTCTTACTTGGAGACACTGTGGAACTTCTTTAGGCGACCATGTTCCATCAGCCAAACAAATCTTCTCCGGCTTGCCAACCAGTTTATACCCGTCCACACAATGATAAGTGATCCTGCAGTCGTAAGTATAGCACTCTCCTGAAAAACCAAATGAAACCCTCACTTCTTCCAGCCAATTCCTTGAATCAGAATCATCAGTACTCACCTCCATGCCATCCGTTAGCAATATCCGGTGGAAGATTACAATTAACAGGCTTGCAGGTGATATCAGGCCCGAACCAACTAGCTTTACCTTCCATGAGAAAACACATCGCGTTCTGGAACCCAGTGGTCTGGTACCCATAATCACAAAAGTACTGAATCGTCGAATTGAGCTCGAATCCTTTCTGGTCCACGGGAGCGTAATGCTTGGCATTGCTGACCTTCGGAGGCTCAGTGCAGAAAGAGTTCCTGTCCTTGGTGCAAATCGGCGTGGAGCTGCTCCAGTGGCCGTCGGCTCGGCAAGTTCTGTCCGGAAGCCCAACAATGAAGTAATTGTGATCACACTGATAATGAGCACTGTCGCCAAATAAATTTCCAGTGACTGTCATCTTGCCGTGTTCAATTTCAGGCTGGAGAATTGGACACTCGCGATCTGGCTTGATGCAAGACATCCCACAGGGTCCGTCGCAGCGGCACTTTTTCTTCTTACTCTTGCAGTCTTCGTCCGTTGAGCATCTCCTTAAACACTTCTGCTCCAGCACCTCAGCTTGCTTTTCATCCCTAGGACACATTGCTGAAGGAGAATTCCTCGGGTTCTTATAAATCCTGCCATCATCATCAACTTCTGGTCTAGAACTGTCGATGTCATCATCATCATCTTCATCATCAGCATCATCGTCCTCGTCATTGGAGTCCACTGCTCCCGCTTGTTGGAGCTTAGACTCAGCTATTATCACGCTGATGCTCAAAAACAGGAAAAAAAGCACTACTGCGCGGGGTCGCATTGTCTTATGGGGTTTTTTTTAATTAAGATTTTTTACTTAAGGGTGATTTCACATTGCACGATTGTTGATATGTTCTTCAGATATTTTTAGAGCATTTGCGGTGATTTTATAGAACTTAGGGGAAAATTGTCATAGATTGACGCTCACTGGTCACTTGTCAAGCACGAGGAAGCTTTAGAGAACTTTAACGGAGCTTGCGGGGTCAACGCGCGAGTTTTTGTTGCAGACTGCGGAGCTAACTGAGAGAAATCACAAGCTCCAGAAGCGCAGCTTTCTTCGCGCATCACATCCAACCCTAGTCAATACATCTCTGGCTCGCCCAGCATCCACCAGATGGCACAGGATTATGTTTTATTATCAATGGCTATAAATTTTAATGTTATCTCGTTTTTATTGCGGGAATTTATAAAAACTATCGGTTTTTTGCATGATTTTCCACAGAGAGAAATGACCCTGTATCTCGTAAACTATTGACATTTTTAAAGATATAAGCTCATCCCGAAATTACACTCATTGAGACCTTTCATTTGAGTAGCCACATCAATTTTTCATATATTTATATATATTATATATATATGTATATATGTATATATGAAAAATATATCAAAAATGCATGTGGGTACTCAAATGAAAGCTTTTGATGAATGTAACATCAAGATGAGCTTATATCTTTAAAAATATCAATATTTCACAAGATACAAGGTCAATTTTATAAAATACTTTTTAATATTCAAATTTTTAAAAAATTTGAATGATTTTATAAATAACAATGAATGAAAACGTTCGATTGTTCTGATCAACACTTATGCCAAGTATCCGATTGTTATCAATCCGATACGCCAACGCCTAAATGCCGAGATTTTATCAAGTATGTTGATGTGTATATATAGATATACATTAAAGTATATTGTGTCTTAATTTATCTTGTTCAAATAAAGATCCCAGGCTTGAAAAAAATTTATTTCTCATGACCTTATCTACGTGACTGAATCCCAACGTCACAAACATCAGCCCGTCATGTGGAAAAAATACAAGTCACTTTTTTTTGGTTATCGGTTTACCGATCAAAATTGTTTCCAAGTATGAAAAATGGATTTATCTTGCCAGTTGAAGATTTATGAAAATTTAATACAATATAAAATTATTCGGGATTGATTTTTGGGGAATATTTTTATTGGATTAGAACAATGGAGAATATTTTTCTTGACTGATGAATCGGTAAGTGGTTACGGCAGCGTATTTAAGCGATACAGAAAGTATTGATTGATGAAAAAGTTTTATAATAATTGCATCGTTGAAAAATTTATTATTTTTTAAACTGTATAGAAACTTTGTTCATTGAGAAAACTTTTAATTGTCCCGTAACATTCATGAAAATAGTAATTGACGTCGATGTAATATATTTATAAACTCCTTGACCTATCCTACTTCTCTTATACTATTTCCGTAGAACATATGACTATTGATTATTGATTAGCTAATGTATTCAATCCAGTGGAATTCGCAATAAAATTATACGAATTGAGCAGTCAACTGTAATAAGCCGGCAATTCCCGTTTATTTTCGTTGGACTGCTTATTGATTTTCCTGTAAGCGACCCTAACTGTACTCGCAATGATATCATTTGCAAAATCAAATATTTGTGTTGGCATAGTATTATTTCGTTAAAGATAATGTTATGCTATGATATGGTCAAATATGGCAAATTTTTATATAAATTTTTATTATACATTTTAAAACCCATATGTCAGAAAATGTCCATATCGGGCCATATAAACCCATATTTATGCCATATAAACTCATACGTTGCCATAAAAATCCATACTATGCCATATAGACCCATAGTATGCCATATAAATCCAGATTATACCATATAAAACTATAATATGCCATATAAATCCAGATTATACCATGTAAAACTATAATATGCCATATAAATCCAGATTATGCCATATAAAGCTATAATATGCCATATAAAATCGTATATTATGCCATATAAATCCACACTTTTGCCATATAAACCAATATGATGTTATATAAACTCATACGTTGCCATAAAAACCCATACTATGCCATATAGACCCATAGTATGCCATATAAATCCAGATTATGCCATGTAAAGCTATAAAATGCCATATAAAGCTGTAATATGCTACATAAATCCAGATTTTGCCATATAAAGAAATAATATGCCATATAAAATCGTATATTATGCCATATAAATCTACACTTTTGTCATATAAACCCATACTATGCCATATAAAGGCATATGCAATATAAACCTATAGTAAGCTATATTAATTCAGACAATGCCATATAAAGCTTCAATATGCCATATAAAATCACATAATATGCCATATAAACCCATGTGATGAAATATAAGTCCACGTTTTGCCATAAAAACCCATACTACGCCATATAAACCGATATGATGCCATATAAAATCATATCAAAGTTGATATATGGCTTGATATGGTCAATTTTCAGATTAGGCCATATCTGACCATATAGACTCACATGATGCCATATAAAAAGGCATAATATTCCATATAATCTTATACTATGCCACATAAAGACATATGCCATATAAACCTAGATGATGCCATACAAATCCACATTTTTGCAATATGAATTCACTCTTTTGCCATATAAACCCATACTATACCATATAAAACGATATGATGCCATAGAAACCCATATCAGAGTTGATATATGGCTTGATATGGTCAATTTTCAGATAAGGCCATATCTGGCCATATAAACCTACCTGATGCCATATAAACGCATATTATACCCATATTATAAAATCACATATTATGCCATGTAAACCATCTTGTATGCCATATAAAGCGATATGGTGCCATATAAACCCATATTAGAGTTAATATATGGCACGATATGGCCAATTTTTTAGATCAGGTCAAATTTGGCCAGTTCCAGCCATTTATTAAACCTGATATGGATTTATAGCATAGTATGGCATAACATGGGATTATATGGCATTTATATGGCACAATATGGGTTTATATGGCATTTAAGTAAAATTTTCCAAATTTCTGAATGATTATTTATTATTAGTCACATCATCATTACACCCCATAAAATTCTCTCCAACTTCATAAATATTAATCAAGCTTGACTAAGAGGGGGAGTTTATTATTCTCCACAATCAAGATAGCATTCAAAGTCCGATTGTGTCCATAAACATTGTATTATCCGCTCGAAAAAGAAAGCGATAAAGACTAAATCGGGTGATACTGACACCGAGTATCGATTTCTATTATCCAAACGTATGATAAGAATGACGCTTGCTTATCCTTGACTCCCTCCGTTTTAAAAATCACAAAAAATATAGTTTTCTTTATGTAATATTACAAACTTTTTTTTGCTAATTATTTTTTATGTAAATTTGAATTATAAACTTTGACTTATTAACTAAGAGATTATATTAATATCTATAATACAAATCTATTATATTTAAGACAAAGAAACAATGTTGTATAATAGCAGTTGATAAGCATGACTTTGACCTTTACCCTTGATTTGAAAAAAATTTATAAAAAATCACTCCAACCTTCAGTGACAAGTATATAATCATTTATGCATTAATCAGCTTTTATTCAATCTAGCAAGTCTAGAAAGATATCAAAAGTCTTCAATCTTCTGCAAGATGAAGCCTCAAAAATCATCAGTAGTCTATCTGATAGCAGCCCTTGGGTTTGCTGGTCTGGTGGTGCCAAATCATGGAGCAGCCTTAACCTCGCCTGCAAAACGTAAGTAGCTTTCTAATTTTCCAATAAGCTACTTGATGATTGATTGATAATATGTTTGATAAAACAGCTGGCGAGCACAAATGCACCTCCGACGAATGCATTGTAGAACGTTTGGACACGGCGACGCACGTGATGAAGTTCAGGGACTCAAACGTCAACCCATGTGATAATATGTACCGCTTCGTTTGCGGCAAATACGACGGAACGGACGTATCACATACTCCGTCGGCTGAAATACAAATGAGAAACGCCATAATGAACAGCTTCATCGGAGTCGTCGACGCGCTGACCAGCGACTTCAGGCCCTTCAAGATGATTGAAGAACTCCACGATATCTGCACAGATGACAGTAAGTTCCTATAGGCTCTATCTTTTGATCAAGTGATTGTAATCAGTAATTACAATGACTATCTGCTGGATCACCGATTAGATGCTCGCAACCAAGACAGCGTTAATCTGATGAAAGGAGTCATAATGCATATGGGAGGATGGCCATTGGTGGACGGCGACAAGTGGAAGGAAGCTGACTTCGACTGGATGAACTTCAGCGGAGAGTCTAAGAAGAGCGGGTACCCTATTAACTATTTTGTTGATTTTGAACCCCTGCTAGATGTCGAAGAAGACGGGGAAAAGATCATGGTCTTCAAAGCGCATGTAAGTTTTGCATTATTTTAATGAATATTCCAAAAGTGGTCTGATTCATCCATATGTCATTTTTAATGTCCTAATCTAAGCTTGATATCAAAATTGAGCACATCAGACTGTATTGAAATGTTTCTGATGATATCTATACATATATAAGCAAAATAGGGTTCCTTTGACTGGAGTTGACGTTAAAACTACTGAAGCTAAAGGGATGGGACTACTACCATTCGACGCAGAATTTTTCGTAGATGGTTATAGGCTACTTATTTTTTGGATTTTATCAACCCTTCCCCATTATATTTTATTAAATATGAAAAAAATATATCATCTATATCATTTATAGTCATTTAAAAGATTTAATTTAAGAATTTTACAAATTTTTAGCTGGTACAATAATTGGGACATCCTTGACAGGAATTGGGACATGTGTTTAAAAATGACTATATTCAGTTGGAATTAATTTTGTAACAAGTTATCATATATATGTAAGCAAAATAGGGTTCCTTTGACTAAAGTTGACATAAAAACTGAAGTTATCGAGTCGGGACTGCTACCATTCAACGCAGAATTTTTCGTAGATGGTTATAGGCTACTTATTTTTTGGATTTTATTAACCCTTTCTAATTTTTTTACGATTTAGTTTTATATACATTTTTTCCCGCTAATAAAAACAAAAGACTCTCATTTTTCATTCATTTGTTTTTAATACCATTTTCTTTTGTTTTTATTACATAACCTTAATATTTGATTGATTTAACGTAATTTAAAAAAAGTTTAAGAAAGAAGCTAATTATGTCTGGTGAACTAAGTGTTGAAAATTTATATTTATATGCTGATCGTGTGTTTGGTTATGATAATTGGTTCCATGAAATAAAATAGTTAGATTTCTATGAAATCTACTAAAAATGTTGTTGTTTATAAACTAGGACTCTTTGAAAGATGAAATTTAGGCCATGTCTATTGAGTTTCAATAACATTTACTGAAAATTTCCTTACAACAAACGTCTCTTTAGCAGCGGGAAAAAAGTCATTGTAAGGTTTCCAAAACTTAACATTACATGTAGTAATTCAGTCAACGGACTAACAATTTTACATACATGTTATTTTTGCTGATTACATAACTCATAAATTGTTGTTATTGCGGGATCACGGGAATGTAACAGATTAAAATGAATGGATTTTCCAAACACTAGATATGTGAAAAATAAATTTGGCTACTTATTTAAATAGAATTCGTAAAAAACATGTTAAATTTATTTTCTATAAAAAATTGATGTCACTGAGAAAATTTTAAATAACAGAAAAATTGTTGGCACTTTAAGCTAGACAGATTTAAACTTGACTTATGAGACTTGCAATGACTTTAACTAAAACTTTTAATGCTAATTTGTAATCTGTGCAAATCAAAATAATACTCTAATTAAATTTCAAGTCTAGATCTAAAAACGCAGTACTATAAAGCGCCCGCGAAGCGGGCGCATAACAGCTACATCAAAAAATACCTCTAGAAGGTCATTAATCTTTTTCTTCCTTCTATTCTAGCCCTCTCCCCAATTCTTCAAGTACGCAGCAGAAATGATGAAAACTCCCGAACCTTACAAAGAATACATTATGACCATCGCCAAACTTTTGGGAGCAACTGGAGACATCAGCAAAGACGTCGACGATCTCATTGAATTCCAGAAGAAGGTGCAAGCAATCGACGCGGATCATGACGACAAAACCGATAAGAAAATGAGCATTGCAGACCTTCAAATAGAGTTCCCAGGCATCGACTGGAACACCTGGGCCAGCAAGACGTTAATACCCTTCATGGACAAAGGTGACGAGCCAGTAATAACAATCTGGAACAGAGAAGCGATGAAAGCGTTCATCAAATTGATGGCAGAGACTCCCAAGCGCGTCCAAGCTAACTACGCCATCTGGAGAATGGTCCAGAAATCGGTTTCATTCCTGACCCCTGAGTTCCGCAAAGAGCAGGATAAGTTCTGGGAGACAATTGGCTATCAAGAAGTTAGCGAAGAAACTTTCTGTGATGACACTGCCAAGTTCTACATGGAGGAAGCTATGAAGTACTTCTTCATTGACCAGTTTAAGAATTCCGCTGAGTCGATGCAGAACTTGGTCCAGGATATGAAGGACTCGATGGTCGCTATGATGAAGGACTGCAAGCATCTTGATGCTGAGGACAAGGAGAAGGGCTCGAAGGTTGTTAGTGAGATGCCAGTGACGTTGGGTTCTTCCACTAGGTTCAGCGATCCAAAGGAACTGGAAGCTTTCTATGCTGAGTCGGAATTCCACAAGAACAATTTCCTCCAGACGCTTTTGAACTTGAACATGTTCAGGATTGAGATTGACTACAGCAAGAAGCTCCAGAAGGACTTGAACTTTGTGAATGACCAGCCTGAAGGCTTGGAGACTCCAAGGAACATTCATGACCATTTGTGTGAGTATAATTGTTTGATTTTCTAATTTTCACTTATAAATTAAAATATTTTCAGTCATTCCTCCAGAAATTCTGGACAGTCCGATGTTCGACAACAACCGACCAATGTACATGAATTACGGAGCCGCTGGACCCAACATAGGTCGAGAACTGTTCGTATCCGTGTACCAACACACTAAGTTGAAGGATGAAGACAAGCAGTCAACTCTCATGAAGCAGATAAAGTGCTTCGAAAATATGTTTGGCAACTTTACAAACACGGACGTTAAAGAAGATGTAAGTTATTTCATTTAGATTTATTGGAAGTTATTTAATTAAGAAGCTAAAGAAGTTATCTAATATTTTGATGTTTTAGATGGACTTGGGCACCATGTCAACGATGATGGGTCAGTTCATAGGCCTCCGGTCAGCCTACAAAGCCTACAAGGATTACGAAGCCAAGAACGGCGCTGAAGCACCTCTTCCTGAAGTTCCTCACACTCCTGAACAATTATTCTGGATGGCGTACGTCGGACAATTCTGCAAAGCTAATGTTGACGTAGAAAAGGAAGATGATATTGAAGGCATTGAGATGAAGATGATGGAGTTTATTATGCAGAAAATGTTGGCTCAGATTCCGGAAGTCGCTCAAGATTTCTCGTGTCCTGCTGGGTCGAAGTTAAACCCTGAAACTAAATGCGAATGGTGGTAAGAAAAGAAGCTTGATTTTAAGTTTTTAAAAATTTGATGATGCTGAAAATATTGTGATTGTAATTGATACTTGTATTTATCTATTATAATAAAGAGTTATTATCAAAGCAATGATTTTTTTCTACTTTTTAAAATGACCATTAATTATTTGATCACGATTTTGTGAGAAATATTAGTTAATAACATTTATTAAAGATATCTATGACAAAAAATACCTTGGAAATCAAACGCAGCACCTAAATTTTTTCTATCCTCGCAAGCGTGGGAATTTATTCTCATTGGAGCTCCACTTATGCAGATAGCCATCTCTCAGTACTTAGTCCTTATCATGCACAGAATGATCGGGGTCTCTCGAGCCTTTATAGCAGCGAACCCATCAGAAGCTCGCTATTCCCATCAGAAGGACTATTCACTTGGTAGCCAGTTCGTGATCAGCATTCGTATATCCTCGTTCACTCTACAGCTAAAGCCAGAATCGTAAATGTTGGATCCACGCTTTACTTTATTATGTGTCTCTGTAAAGGATTGCTTACTCTGCTTTATCTAAGCAGCGATACGGAATTCTGCTTCGTGAAAATTTTTCCTACATTGCAGTATTATGTTACATATCATCAGCATTAAACTTCAATTGAAACTCCTTAATTTTGTTTTATTTTTTTGAATATCAATTTTTATAATTTCTTGAATTAATCAATATATCTGATAATTATTTCAGCATTAAGCCCAAAATTTTGATTTTAAACTTTCTAAACATGTGGTGTTATTCCAAAAAATTAAAATTGGATTTGAAACTTTTGAACGACTGAACCGATCGGAACGTACTAAACGGCGTTCTAAAGAGTTCCCTTAAACTTAGATTTCCTGAGAATTGGAACCGATTTGGACCGATAGATTTTGAGAAATTTTGAAAAATCTCAAAAAAAAAATAAGAAAAAAATCATTTTTGAAAGAGGTTTTTTTGGAATAACTCTTAAACGGCTCTATCGATCAACTTCAAAAACTAATCAGCTATTAGCATGAAAAAATTACGTCGATCGCCGTCAAGCCGGTCAAAATTGGTCAATTCGTTCAAGAAATATCATGAACGAAAGAAAACCAAAAAAAGTGTTTTTTTAGAATTACTCCAAATTTCCTAGTTTTATCAATTCAAACTTAAAGATTCTTCATGAAACTAATAAAATTGCGTCAAATACTGCCAACCGCGTGAAAATTGGTTGATTCATTCAAAAGTTAGTGCGGTTTGGAAATTTTAAAAATATTGTTCTATGGTACTTCTATCAGACTTTTGAGCTCGAAGAGCTCAAAATAACACATAAATTGTATTTTTGAGCTCAAAGAGCTCAAAAACATCATTAGTGCAGTTTTATGCACCTAGGTATGGAATTAGCGGAAAGTTGCACGGATGGCCTTCAGGGTCTACCGTTTTTCTATTTTTTTTTTTTTTCAAATATTAATGTATTGTATTTTTTCATACAAGTGATTTTCCATCCAAATTTAAAAAAATGAAAGTAATAATAATTATTTAAAAAATGATGAAAGCCTTTATTAAACCTCCACCTGTCGAGATGAGCAAGTAAATTTATCACACAATCTCTTATAGCAATAACCGCGTTATCTCAAAACCATCAGTAGAGAACAACCACGCTTACATTGTACTTTTCACACCTCTATTACCTCGAAAAAAAAAATAAGAAGAAAGACGCGTCTTTTATTTTTTATACAACAAAAATATTGCCGAACAATATATACATACTTAAAAATACTCAACAATATTATTATTTTTCCTTGATGACCGCATGCGTATGTCATATCCGCAAACGCCTGGTGCTTAATTTAATAGCAAGTTCATATGTGCTTATATGACCGAACAATTGCAAATTAAAATGACAGGCAATAAACGACAATGACAAATAACGAATGCGGAACTGCTAACAGTTACCGGAAAAGGCACTATATTATTTAAAATCTACCCGGAACTTGTTTTATTCTTACACGTGATAAGATTCTCATTATAATTATTATTCATTATCCAAAGTGTGCTCACCAATCATGACTTTATTACTAATTATTTATCGTTGATTATTTTTTCATAAGAAAAACAAACAGTTAAATATTTTTTAGTACCAGTAAAATAATTTCCTCGGAAAGAACGAGCTCGTAAAACCTCTCGGCAAACTAGTATGTTAAGCAAATGTATGCTAAACTCGATGTTCACATGTACAAGCAAAATAAACCGTCCTAAACAGCGAGTCACTTGAGGCTAAGCGTTAATTGAATGTCAAACTCAAAATAACCTCTCTAAGAGTTATGTTTGTAATTTCTGGTTTATCATCGTAATACTTTGCGGTTTAATTTATAACCAGCTCTTTCTTGTATTGACCGAACTCTCTATAGAAATATACTTTAAATGAGTCGAAAAAAAAAAAAAAATTGTTTAAAAATTTATTTTTAAGAGAAATTTAAATTGATTAATACTACACGGAAAGAACAAGATGACACTGGATACCATCTCAGATTATACTCAGTGACATCTGAGGTGAAAAAAAATTTCAGATGGTAGCTAGTATAATCCAGATTATACTGAATAATATCTGGATTATACCTATTGTAATCTGGATTATATTCATTGTTATCTGGATTATACTAGCTACTATCTGAAATTTTTTTCACTCAGTATAATCTGGGATTATATCCAGTATAATCTTGTTCTTTCCATGTAGCAACTTTGCAGTCACTTATCATATATATATTGATTATTGACATTTTTAAAGATATAAGCTCATCCTGATGTTACACTCATCAAGAGCTTTTATTTGAGTACCCACATGCATATTTGATATATTTTTCATATATACATATATATAATATATATAAATATATAAAATATATGAAAAATTGATGTGGGTACTCAAATGAAAGGTCTTGATGAGCTTAACATCGGGATGAGCTTATATCTTTAAAAATGTCAATAATTCACAAGATACAAGGTCATTTCTTAATTATTTACCTAGAGACTATTCTGGATACCAAATTTTTTTTTTTTCATAAAAAAAAATTAAAAATATTTTTAAATTAAATAATTATTAACTTATTTAAAAATTAAAAGAAAATTTTTTTTATAAAAATAAATTAATAAGCGCATTGTCCGGCGATTAAATCCTTATAAGGCTCGTCTGGTATTTCTTCATGACTGTCAAAGAGCATTATTGTCAACGACAGATGGCCACACATGAAATTTTCGTTCTTGTTTTTTACATCTCCGTTATAACTTACAACAAAAATAAAAAGTATGACACATTGGACATTAAATAATATTGAATAACCAGCCAACAAAAAATCAAAATTTCATTTTAAATACCACCACTTTAAAACGTTATTTTAAGTTCCCTTTTTTGCAATCCACTCACTTTTAATCTGCAGCCTGACGCTTGACGCCATGTAGCATGTTACACAAATTTTATTTTTATATTTATTGGTCCGTATTTAGCATACAAATTATTTTTTCACAAATTTTTAACTTTTAATTTAGATAGTTTAAGGTACTTTTCAAGCAATAGTATTCAGATAAATAGGTAATTAAATGACCGAGGGGATCGTTAACATAGTAATGAAGATCGTTGACGGTTTCTTGAGAAATATATGTGGCGATAAAGTGTCTCAGGTTCCTCATAAAATTTGTATTTTAGATTTTTTAGAGGGCTTGAGGATAAGGATCTTTTTGTCGCGTTAAAAATAAACATTTTATTTTATATCTTCGGTTATTGTTTTTATTTGGTAATAATAATAATAAAAACTAGTAACCTGCAGTCCTAGTAACTTTTCAGCCGTACTAACTTGTATCCGGGTCAAATGTTGTTTTAATAGTTTTAACAACAAATTCATTTTATCTTTGTTATTAACTAACATATTTATTATTATAGTTTTAAGAACAAATTTTGTTTATCTTCGTTATTAATTAACACTTAAGTTTATCAAGATCGTGTTGTCAGCATGCTAAATCCTTTATTTGTCTTTTTTAATTAGTTTTTTTTAATTATCCTAAATAATTAATAGTTAAATATATAAACAATAATGTTTCTAAGGTTGAAATAATATAAAAGTCTTTTTAATAAACAACTTGATGTAGACATTTTGTACTTGTCCCACCAGTCACAAATGTCTGTCCCACCAGTCACAATAAAAACAAATTTTTTTAATTGTTTCTACGTAGGTAATCAGTCTAATTGTTCATAATATTGAATGTTTGTAGGATAAATTTTGTATTTTCTAGGGAAGTATTTTTTTTTAGTTTAGTGGTCGAACTGACAATTGGACTTTAAGTATACCTTTGGTAAGAGAGAAGGATTTGTTGTTAGTCCCACCAGTCACACTCAGTCAAATGATAATTACGAGAAACTTAAAAAGTAATCGAGGTTTTTGACAAAGGGATGTTGTTAATTAGTTATTCTTCTATATTATAAGATAAATTTTACTATAGTATAAGTTTCAGTCACATAATTATATATAATTGATGGAATTCCACAGTCAAATGTCCCACCAGTCACTATGGAATGCCCCTTATATAAAAATTTATTTTTCTATTTTAATAAAATGTTAATGTCATTTATTGATTTGGTTCCTGCGAATAAATTTCATCAAAAAGCTCGATAAGTTCACAAATAACTTTTTTAAAAAATTAGTTCCAAAAAATTCCAACAGGTGGCGCATGGTCGTTAAATTTTCTCACTACTAGAGAGTTAATTTTAAAATTATAAGTAAGGAACTAATAATTTTTTTTTATCTTTTTTAAAGTGCCTGAAGATTTATATAAAAATTTTGATAACTATGAGAAACTTAAAAAGTAATGGAGGTTTTTGACAAAGGGATGTTGTTAATTAGTTATTCTTCTATATCTATATATATCGAAAAGAAAGTCGTGTTAGTTACACTATTTATAACTCAAGAATGGATGAAGCTATCGGGATGATACTGCTACCATGCGACGCAGAATTTTTCATAGATGGTTATAGGCTACTTATTTTTTGGATTTTATCAACCCTTCCCCATTATATTTTATTCAATATAAAAAAAATATATTATCTATATCATTTATATTCATTCAAAAGATTTAATTTAAGAATTTCACAAATTTTTAGCTGGTACAATAATTGGGACATCCTTGTCAAGAATTGGGACATGTGTTTAAAAATGACTATTTTCAGTTAGAATTAATTTTTTATTAACTTATTTACATATATATATATAAGCAAAACCCTTTCTATTTTTTTTACGATTTACTTTTATATACATTTTTTCCCGCTAATAAAAACAAAAGACTCTCATTTTTCATTCTCATGTTTTTAATACGATTTTCTTTTGTTTTTATTACATAACCTTGATATTTGATTGATTTAACGTAATTTAAAAAAAGTTTAAGAAAGAAGCTAATTATGTCTGGTGAACTAAGTGTTGAAAATTTATATTTATATGCTGATCATATGTTTGGTTATGATAATTGGTTCCATCAAATAAAATAGTTAGATTTCTATGAAATCTACTAAAAATGTTGTTGTTTATAAACTAGGACTTTTTGAAAGATGAAATTTAGGCCATGTATTGAGTTTCAATAACATTTACTAAAAATTTCCTTACAACAAACGTCTCTTTAGCAGCGGGAAAAAAGTCATTGTAAGGTTTCCAAAAATTAACATTACACGTAGTAATTCAGTCAACGGACTAACAATTTTACATACATGTTATTTTTGCTGATTACATAACTCATAAATTGTTGTTATTGCGGGATCACGGGAATGTAACAGATTAAAATGAATGGATTTTCCAAACACAAGAAGTGTGAAAAATAAATTTGGCTTCTTATATAAATAGAATTCGTAAAAAACATGTTAAATTTATTTTCTATAAAAAATTGATGTCACTGAGAAAATTTTAAATAACAGAAAAATTTTTGGCACTTTAAGCTAGACAGATTTAAACTTGACTTATGAGACTTGCAATGACTTTAACGAAAACTTTCAATGGTCATTTGGAATCTGGGCAAATCAAAACAACACTCCAATTAAATTTTAAGTCTAGATCTAAAAATACAATTATAAATTATAAATTTAATTTTTATTTTTTACATATTTTACTGTAATAATATTAAGCAAGAACATGCAAATATTTAATTATGTTAACCTTGTGATAATACTAGTAACAAGCCTCGATAACGAGGTTTATCTAGAGACAATTATTTAACTACATACCTACCAAGTTCGCTCGCAGTATTTGTTCACTAAACATTGTCACAATTTTTTTTTACGACGAAAATAAATAAAATAAACTTAAACAATGTTTCAGTATTTTATTTTAATATTCAATATTTTGGGCGTAATTTTGTCAGAAGAAGTATGTATATTACTTTTAGACTTCTTAAACTCTCAATTGAGAGGTTCAGGGTTCGATTCCCGGCGGGGGTCAAGCAAAAAGAAATAAGTAATATTATTTTATTTTTCAATTTTTTTTTTCAGGATCAAGTTTATAAAAGTCATCTGAAAGTTTCAACGCGGCTAGACTTGTCGGGATCATTGAAGCATCTTTGTGCTGGAGATGATCAAAATGATGACGATCAAGTGGTCTCCTGTGCTTGTCTCAGTAAATTGTCAGTTGTATCGACCGTCCAAGTGGGAAAGTACCAAAATGTCTACCATCACAACGAGAGCAATCAAAATGGCGTAAACGCTTACGCGTCGCTTTACCAAACTGAAGAAAATTTGAAAGTTTTAGGCTTCGGACGCTTCAATGTATTTTTTTTTCTTACTTTTAGAAGTTTTTGGAGGAAAAATTAATGTAATTTTTTTTTGCAGTTACATAATGTTAAATGCGTAGAAAATAATGAGGTTAAAGATGTTGAGAGTCGGTACACTCATTGGTTCCACGTTTATTCTACTTGGTCAAGTTTACCTCCATATAATAAATTTTTTGATTACGAGGACTATGCGGCCGATGTTCTATTGCCAATAACGATTGTGGATATTACTCTTGATAATGCACCTAAATTTGTAAGTATTGTTATTATTTAATAATAATAAAAATAATTAATCGGAATTATGGTATTTTACGGTGAGAAAAAATTTATTTCTTCATTAATTTTAGAAAAATTAATTTTTTATTAAAATATTGTTCATTTTTTTTTAATAGAAAATTTTTTCTCAGTGTTTAGATCATGAAATTCATTTCAAAATGAGACTTTCATTTAAAAATACCCATGAATTAAGAAAGAAAATTATTTTCTTTTTAATTTCAAAAATTTTGTTATTTATATTATTAATCACAAGTAATTTTTCATTAATATAATAATAACTAGCAACCTGGCAGTCACTACGTGACTGCGATGACTTGTGAACTATAAATAAATAAAATTTTGCTTTATTAAATAATGACTTTTGTTAAATTGCACTGTACTTTCTTAAATATTGACGTTTTTAAAGATATAAGC